AGAGTGAAACTCAATATCTGAAACCTTTGATGAAATTACAGCCTTCAAATCGGTCTATATCTATTATTTGTATAAAATTATTTTATTTTCTGGAGCCTATGACTTCCCCCCTTGTTTGGCTCCTTATCCACCAGCAGATCAATTGGGGATTACCATCCTTAACTCAACAGCTTTGACCTGGTCGACCACTATTGGAAAAGTGAAGAGTTTCTCCTGATGTCTGACTTGCAATCCCTCTAGGATCTTCTTTTAACAATTCCCCAAACTACAGTCCTGTAGTGCAGCGGTTAGAACACTCGCCTCGCAAGCAAGGGATCTAGGATCAATTCCCGGCAGGGTGAAACCTTGGGCAAGTTCCCATACTCTCCACATGCCTGATAATAATCGCTCAAGAAAAAACAAATTCTATTTTTTGGAGGAATTAATTTCTCCGGAAAGCGATTTGCCAATTGAGTAACCGGTTCCTATTTACTGCTGGGTATATAGAGATGTGGAGATTAAGGAAACTTGCCCAAGGTTGAGCCCCACCCATGCAGGAATCCGGGTCCTCGGATATGGGAGGGAGTGAGGGATGGGAAAAACTTGTGTGGAGTATAAACACTGGGACGGGCTGCTTGGGCCGAATGGCCTGTTTCCGTGCTGCACAGTCTGTGTAAATCTTTGTAAATAACATCAGTTATTCACTCTACGGCTTTTGGGAGGACATTGTTCTATGTAAATTGGCTGCTGCATTCACGCACAAAGCACAGTCACTACGCTTAACCGTGAATCCTGTGAAGTGCGTGGTGATATTCTCCCGACACGAAAGATTCTGTATCAAAAGTAAGGACTCTTATTAACTATGAGCGGCGTTATATATATATATATATATATCCATTGGGTGGCAGCACACCTCTGCAGAGAGGTGGTTTGCCCGTTTTCTGAGCTCAATGACTAACTACCATGTTATTATTTTATTTTGAAGCGAGCGTTTTCTGCTTTGTAGATTGCAGGCCCTAAAACGGGACTGAGGTCATTTTTTTTGTTTGCTCAGAAACACAGTCCTTGTGGCCAAACCTTCACACCGTAGCGTAGTGGGAATTCATTCTTACAGTCGATAGTAATCATCTTTGCATTTGATGCAGCGCCTTATCACGTTCTTCGAGACGCCTCAAAGCCCTTCACCGATTGTACTGTTAAGTCAATTGACTGTATATTTTGTGGGTGAAACACAGCAACCAATTGCACACAGCAGCGTCCCACAAACAGTCGTGGATTGACTAACAAAGGTTATTATCCGCAGAAAAGCAATTTACCAATCGACTAACAACCAGGTTCCTACTAACTGCTGGGGTATAAGAGACGGGTAAACATTTCTCCTAGAACTGAACCCCGGTCCTCTCGCTTGCGAGGCAAATGCTCTAACCACTAAGCTACAGGAGCTTACAAACGTTGGGTATCCTGAATGATGTTCAAGGGTTGACAATGAATGTTTCTGCGCTGAAAAGGGTGGGAATGGGTTTAGAGAGATGCTCGTACAGAGATGTACGAGATGCGCCCCCAACCCCCCCAAATCACAACATAAACCAACCTTGCAATCAGAGAGATGCTCGTGGGGTGGTTGTGGTTGGGGGGCGTTGGGTATGGGGGAGTTGGTGTTGGGGGTTGTTGTAGTTAGGGGGTTTGGGGTTGGGATGGTTGCGGTTGGGAGAGGGTTGGTGTTGTGGTTGAGGTTGGGGGGAGTTGGGCGGTTTGGAGTTGTGGGTTTGGGGGGGTTGCGGTGGGTTGTGGTTGGGGGGGTTGGTGTTGTATTTGGAGTTGTTGTGGTTGGTGGGGAGTGGGGTTGGGTGTGGGGAGGGGTGGGGTGGGGGTTGGGGGGTTGTGTGGGGGGTGGGTGGGTGTGGTAGGGGTTGGGGTGGGGGTGTGGGATTGGGTGTGGTGGGGGGGTTGGGGCGTGTGGGTTTGGGGCGTGTGGGGTTGGGGGGTGGTGGGTTGGGGTGGGGTGTGTGTGGGGTTGGGTGTGGGGTGGGGGGTGTGGGGTTGGGGGGTGTGGGGGTTGGGGTTGGGGGGTGTGGGGTTGGGGGTGTGTGGGTGTGGGGGTTGGGGTTGGGGGGGTGTGTGGGGTGTGGGGGTTGGGGGGGATGTGTTGGGTGTGGGGTTGGGGTTGGGGGGTGTGGGGGTTGGGGTTGGGGGGGTGTGGGGGTTGGGGTTGGGGGGGGGTGTGGGGGTGTGGGGGGGTGTGGGGTTGGGGGGATGTGTTGGGTGTGGGGGTTGGGGGGGTGTGTGGGGGTGTGGGGTTGGGGGGTGTGGGGTGTGGGGGTTGGGGGTGTGTGGGTGTGGGGGTGTGGGGTTGGGGTTGTGTGGGGTTGGGGTTGGGGGGGGTGTGGGGGTGTGGGGGTGGGGGGGGTGTGGGGTTGGGGGTGTGGGGTTGGGGGGTGTGTGGGGGTGGGGGGTTGGGGGGTGTGGGGGTGTGGGGGTGTGGGGGTTGGGGGGTTGGTGTGGGGGGGGTGTGGGGTTGGGGGGGTGTGTGGGGTGTGGGGTGTGGGGGTTGGGGTTGTGGGGTGGTGGGGGGGTGTGTGGGGGTGTGGGGTGGGGTTGGGGGGGTGTGGGGTGTGGGGGGGGTGGGGGTTGGGGGGGTGGGTGTGGGGGTGTGGGGTGGGGTGGGGGTGTGTGGGGGTGGGGGGTGTGTGGGGGTGTGGGGTGGGGTTGGGGGGTGTGTGGGGGGTGTGGGGGGTGTGTGGGGTGGGGGTGTGGGTGGGGGGTTGGGGGGGGGGGTGTGGGGGGTGTGGGGGGTGTGGGTGGGGGGTGTGGGGTGGTGGGGGGTGTGTGGGGGGTGTGGGGGTGTGTGGGGTGTGGGGTTGGGGTTGGGGGGGGTGTGGGGGGGGTTGTGGGGTGCTGTGGGTGTGGGGTGTGGGGGGGGGGGGTTGGGGTTGGGGGGTGGGGGTGTGTGGGGTGTGGGGGTGTGGGGTGTGGGGGGTTGGGGGGTGTGGGGGTGGTGGGGGTGGTGTGGGGGTGTGGGGGTTGGGGGGGGGGGGTTGTGGGGGTGGGGTGGTGGGGGTGTGGGGTTGGGGGTGTGGGTGTGTGGGGGGGCGTGGGGTGTGGGGTTGGGGTTGGGGGGTGTGGGGGGGTGTGGGGTTGGGTTGGGGGGTGTGGGGGGTGTGGGGGTGTGGGGTGTGGGGGGGTGGGGGGTTGGGGTGGGGGGGTGTGGGGGTGTGGGGTGTAGTGGGTGTGTGTGGGGGTGTGGGGTTGGGGGGTGTGGGGGGTGTGGGGTGTGGTGTGTGGGGGTGTGGGGGTGGGGGTGGGGGTGTGGGGGGTGGGTGTGGGGGTTGGGTTGGGGGGTGTGGGGGGTGTGGGGTTGGGTGGGGGTGTGGGGGGGTGTGGGGGGGGGTGGGGGGTGTGGGGGTTGGGGTGGGGTGGGTGTGGGGGTTGGGGGTGTGTGGGGGTGTGGGGTGTGGGGTTGGGGGGTGTGGGGGTGTGGGGTGTGGGGGGTGTAGGGGTGTGTGTGTGGGGGTGGGGGGGGTTGGGGTGGGGGGGTGTGGGGTGGGGGTGTGGGGGTGTGGTGGGGGTGGGGTGTGGGTGTGGGGGTGTGGGGTGTGTGGGGGGTGTGGGTGTGGGGTTGGGTTGGGGGTGTGTGGGGGGGTGTGGGGTGTGGGGGTTGGGGTTGGGGGTGTGTGGGGTGTGGGGGTTGGGGGGGTGTGGGGGTGGGGGGTGTGTGGGGGGTGTGGGGGTTGGGTTGGGGGTGTGTGGGGGTGTGGGGGTGTGGGGTGTGGGGGGTGTGGGGGTGGGGGTGTGGTGGGGGTGGGTTGGGGGGTGGTGGGGGTGTGGGGTGTGGGGGTGGGGTGGGGGGTGTGGGGTGGGGGGGTGTGGGGTGGTGTGGGGGGGGTGGGGGGGTGTGGGGGGTGTGGGGGTGGGGGGTGTGGGGGTGTGGGGGTGGGGGTGTGGGGGGGTGGGGGGTGAGGGGTGGGGGGTGTGGGGGGGTGTGGGGTGTGGGGGTGGGGTTGGGGGGGGGTGGGGTGTGGGGGGGGTGGGGTGGGGGGGTGTGGGGGGGTGGGGGTGGGGTTGGGGGGTGTGGGGGGTGGGGGGGGTGTGGGGGTTGGGGGGTGGGGGGGGTGTGGGGTGGGGGTGGGGGGGTGTGTGGGTGTGGGGGTGTGGGGTGGGTGGGGGGTGTGGGGTGGGGGGTGTGGGGGGGGTGTGGGGTGGGGGGTGGGGGTGTGTGTGGGGGTGGGGGGGTGTGGGGGGTGTGGGGTGTGGGGGGTGTGGGGGGGTGTGGGGGTGTGGGGGGGGTGGGGGGGTGGGGGTAGGGGGTGTGGGGGTGTGGGGGTGTGGGGTGGGTGTGGGGGGTGTGGGGGGGTGGTGGGGGTTGGGGGGGGGGGTGTGGGGTGGGGGGGGTGGGGGTGGGGGGGTGTGTGGGGGTGGGTGGGGGGTGGGGGGTGTGGGGTGTGGGGGGTGGGGGTTGGGGGGGGGTGTGGGGGTGGGGGAGGGTGTGGTTGGGGTGTGGGGGGGGTGTGGGGTGTGGGGGTGTGTGGGGGTGGGGGGTTGGGTGTGGGGTGTGGGGGGGGTGTGGGGTGGGGGGGTGTAGGGGTGTGTGGGGGGTGGGGGGGTGTGTGGGGGGTGTGGGGTGTGGGGGGTGTGGGGTGTGTGTGGGGTGGGGGGGTGGGGGTGTGGGTGTAGGGGGTGTGGGGTGTGTGTGGGGGTGTGGGGGTTGGGTGGGGGGGGGGTGGGGGTGGGGTGTGGGGGTGGGGTGGGGGGTGTGGGGGTGGGGGGGGGTGTGGGGGTTGGGGGGGTGTGTGGGGTGGGGGGGGGTGTGGGGGGTTGGGGGTGTGTGGGTGTGGGGGGTTGGGGGTTGGGGGGGGTGTGTGGGGTGGGGGAGGGTGTGGGTTGGGTGTGGGGGGTGTGGGGGTGTAGGGGGGTGTGTGGGGTGGGGGGGTTGGGGTGTGGGGGTGTGGGGGGGGTGTGTGTGTGGGGGGGTTGGGGTGTGGGGTGTGTGTGTGGGGGTGGTGGGGGGGGGACAGGACGTGGGTGGGGTCACAGCCGGAAGTCCTGGTGTGGGTGGAGTTGAGCCACAGACACAAACACTAACAGGTCAGAGACTGTCTGTGGGTATTTGTGTCATTCTCTGTCTGTGTGTCTGTGTGTGTGTGTGTCTGTCTGTGTGTGTGTCTGTGTGTGTATGTATGTCTGTGTGTGTGTGTGTGTGTGTCTGTGTGTGTGTGTGTGTCTGTGTGTGTGTCTGTGTGTGTGTGTGTCTGTGTGTGTGTGTGTGTGTGTGTGTGTGTGTGTGTGTCTGTGTGTGTGTGTGTTGTGTGTGTATGTCTGTCTGTGTGTGTGTGTGTGTGTGTGTCTGTATGTGTGTTTGTGTCTGTGTGTGTGTGTGTGTGTCTGTGTGTGTCTGTCTGTGTGTGTGTGGTGTGTGTGTGTCTGTGTGTCTGTGTGTGTGTGTGTCTGTGTGTGTGTGTGTCTGTGTGTGTGTGTGTGTTGTATCTGTGTTGGTCTGTGTGTGTGTGTGTATGTGTGTGTATGTCTGTCTGTGTGTGTGTGTGGTGTGTGTGTGTGTGTGTGTGTGTATGTCTGTCTGTGTGTGTGTGTGTGTGTGTGTGTATGTCTGTCTGTGTGTGTGTGTGTGTGTGTGTATGTCTGTCTGTGTGTGTGTATGTATGTGTGTGTTTGTATGTCTGTGTATGTGTGTGTGTGTCTGTGTGTGTGTCTGTGTGTGTGTGTGTGTGTGTCTGTGTGTGTGTGTGTGTCTGTGTGTGTGTGTGTCTGTGTATGTGTGTGTGTGTGTGTCTGTGTGTGTGTGTTGTGTGTGTTGTGTCTGTGTGTGTGTGTGTCTGTGTGTGTGTCTGTGTGTGTGTGTGTGTGTGTGTGTGTCTGTGTGTGTCTGTCTGTGTGTGTGTGTCTGTGTGTGTGTGTGTGTGTGTGTGTGTGTGTCTGTGTGTGTCTGTCTGTGTGTGTGTGTCTGTGTGTGTGTGTGTGTGTGTGTCATATTAGACTCTGCCTCCTGTCTTAGATGATAATTTGTGAAGATGAAATGAGAGGGAGTACAGTGAGCACCGGAGGGGGAGTACGGAGAGGGAGTACGGAGAGGGAGTGCGGAGGGGGAGTGCGGAGAGGGAGTGCGGAGGGGGAGTGCGGAGGGGGAGTGCGGAGGGGGAGTGCGGAGGGGGAGTGCGGAGGGGGAGTGCGGAGGGGGAGTGCGGAGGGGAGTAAGCGGAGGACAGACGGGGAGAGGCACACACGTTAGCTGTGCAGTTCGCTGCCCTGGGACCCGCTGTGTGTACAGGAGACCTGCTCCAGGACAGCGCCTGTTTGATTCCCACGGTACAAAGCCGGACCTCGTGCTGAGACGGCAGTCAGTTGTGTTGTGTTGCCAGGATTTTCATTCCTTCTATCTGTCTGGTTGCTCCTTCCCTCTTAAGAGTCGAGCATTCTGCTGGCGTTTTGGTCAGTGGGGGTGTCTGACACAACACCAGACAGTTTCCCCGTATGTGTGCCACCAAATCATGAGAATCTTATAGCACAGAAGGAGGCCATTCGGCCCATCGTGCCTGTGCCGGCTCTTTGATAGCTTCACTGTGCCTTACGCTGTAAAGCGTTTGAGATGTCTCGACTACGTAATCAAGCACGCTATCAAATGTAAGGGTTGTTAAGTAAATTGTTATTGCAAAATGACAGTACTTTATTTATTGAAAGTTTTGATAGCAGAGCACACGGAGAGTCAATCCGCTGCTAGCATTTGCTACTGGAATGAGTGCTGGTGGTGCTGATTAAACAGATTCCAGGCAACTCGCACCAGCTCCTGTTAACCCTGGAAGCCAAAGCCCTCACGGGTAGGGTGGTCCCAAGATAAGCAGCGGGAAAGCTTGGCAGACAGCAATATCAATGGCAGGCTGTGCGGTTTTAGCTGGTTAGACTCCAGCAGTTACCCCAACACACACGCTGGGGTCCCCAAGCCTTGAATCCTGCCAACCTGCGCCTAATATTTTCTGGAATTAGTTAAACAGGATGTGTCTAGATTCGAGTGCGGATTCCATTCCAGACTCGGGAATTTCATCATGACTTAAATGTGAAGGGGTATGGGGTAAGAATGGGGAGTGAGGCTAGCTACCAACTAGCCTCCTCTATTTCCACCCTAACTTCCCTCAGCATCCTGGAAGCTGAATCCTGGAAGGGCTTTGAGACAGACGTCCTGCCACCGTAAAAGGTGGTGTTATCAAACCCAAGGATTTAAAAGAAAGGTTAAAAATAGCCCCGAACAGGTGTAAAAAGTTGTGACAATAAGAGTATTCCTGTAATCTTGTGAAACCCATTATTTTGTTCAGCATTGATCAGTAGACGTGTACACAATACATTACCTTGAGGAATGAATGGAGCTGTAATTGGAAACCACATTTAAACGGTAAAACATCCTATTATTTCCCTCGTTTGTATCCTTATTATCCATTATTATTTCAGCTGTGAACAGCGGGGCGGGCAGGGCAGACAGCAAGGCAGACAGAGAGGGCAGAGCTGGCAGACAGGCAGGCAGACGGGCAGTCAAAGCCAGTCAGGCACTATTTATAAAGATCCCAGTGAATTGGAACCCATGTCTTGTCTTGGCTTCAGTGTTCATCATTGCTCATTCATCCTCTACCTACTGCTGAATTAAATTAGAGCCTCCGTAATCGAATTAAACAAATCCGGCCTCGAGGAAGCTGCATCCTTATGGCAGTGAGTGAATTAAAGAGCCTGCATCTTGGCAAACCACCTAACTCTCTAACAGCCAGCCTGGCTCAGCTGATAACACTCTTTGCCTCTGGGTCAGACGGTTGTGGGTTCAAGCCCCATAATGCCGAGGACTTTGAGCTCACAGTCAAGGCTGACGCTTCATTGCGGGGGGCATAGTATCGACAGAAGTGTTGTCCTCTGGATGAAACATTAAATTGAGCTCCTGTCTGTGTGGACCTGAACAGGCACAGACAGGAGCTCAATTTAACATCTCATTTTCTCCCTTCAGTTGTACTGGCCAAAAAGCCCTCAGATAAAATCGATAATTCACTTCTTGCTGTTTGCGGGATGCTGCTGCACAAATTGGCTGCTGCATTCACCTGCAAACTACACAATGGCTCCACTTTACAATAAATTCTGTGAAACACTTTGAGACATCCTCACAATGTGAAAATTGTCGGTGTAAAATGTAAGGATTATTATTATTTATAACTAGGGCTTCTGAATTCTGTTTTTAACCACCACCCCTCCCCCGCCCCACACAAAAAAACATAAAAAAATGGAATTGGTGTTTGTCTGACAAACATCGTAAAACACTGTAAATGTCTAACTGTCCTGACGCCAGCTGTGTGTGCGTTACTCTCACTCTCTGACTCTCTCACTTCCCTCCGTTTGCACACACGTGACTGAATCTTCTTATTATAAAGCAAGCAAAAGGCCCCCAAAATCCACAAACTCCCCAAAAAGTGAAAAATATACCCCGAAAAATGACATTTTAAAACCCATGAAAACCAAAAGCCCTACTTATAACACCCGAGAAAGATTCCAACCTCCAGTTAATGTTTCTAATTTGCTCCTCGTTCCTGTATCTTTTCAAACAGCGCTGTGGGATCACTAAGATCCACTTGAACAGGCGCAGACAGGGCCTCGGTTAATGTCTCATCCAAAGTGCCTCCAACAATACAGTGCACCCCCAGCACTGCACTGGAGCATCAGCCTAGACTGTGAGCTCATAATTTCCAATCACTCAGCCTTCTGATTGAGGTAAGAGTGCTACTCTGTGGTGGTCTCCAGTCCAGCTCCTGAGCCAGGCAGATGTACAATATTCCAGGGCACTGCTGATGACAGCACAGCCCAGCCTGGCTCAGGAGCTGGACTAGAGACCACCACAGAGTAGGGAGTCATCCCAATCAACTCCTGTTAACCCTGCAAACCAAAGCCCTAACGGGTAGGGTGGTTCTAGTTGGACAAGCAGGGGGAAAGCTTGCCGGACAGTAATATCAATGGCAAGCTATGCAGTTTTAGCTGGTTAGACTCCAGTTACCCCAATGCACACTCTGGGGTCCCCAAGCCAACCTGCACCTAATGCTTACTGATGAGGTAAACAGGATGAGTCCCTCCAGGGAGAGAGTGCGCATTCCATTCCAACAATCTCTCTCTGGGATTTCCGTGTGTAGGTGGGATGCAGGGAATTCTCAAAAACAACCTCTGGATAAAGAAAACCTTCCTGGTGTCTGTCCTGAAATTGCCACTTTACAGCTCTAACCCTGTGTCCTCTTGTTCTACTGCCTCAGTGCATCCGAAAGTAATGATCTGGGTTTACTTTTTCAATCCCATTTAAACACCCTATAAGGTTCAAGTTTTCTTCTCTCGAAACCTGAAATGAGACAAGCAGAAGATAGTGAAAGTTGAATTCTGAAACCAGCTAGTCAGTTTCCGTCAGAAAGAATGGGATCATGAGCTGGAATTCCTGAGATGAAAGAGCTGAATGAGTTAGGAGGAGGAACCATTTAGAAAAATGCAGCAAACTTTGAGGTTGGTCAGTCATCTCTCTTTCTCCTCAAAGCCATTTAGTTGATGTTTTAGTTGGCTGAGAGATTGTGTTGGAATTCAGTGTCTGTAGTTTGACATTCCCTCTGCAAAGCGAATGAGCTTGACTGACGATAGCACTCTGGAACGCTGCCCCACATGAAGAGCGCTATATAAATGCAAGTTGTTGTTGCTGTTGGCCTGTATACAGTAATTAAAAGCCACCGTTGTTTAAGAATTGGAGCCAATTCCATAACCCTTTTCCTTAGCACAAGATTCATCGCGGGAAACCTTGCATCATTTTGATATTTTGTCAATTTAAGTCTTCCTTTTGTTTCTTTTAGAAAAAAACAGTGGTTTCTTTACAATGAGAACAAGAGGAAGAAAATCGGTCGTGGAGCTGGTAAGTGATTGTTCCTTTTGCACCTGTGGTTTGTAAGTGCTTGTGTGCTCCGGCTTGTAACCGTAATGATAATGATCCTTGCATTTGATATAGCGCGTATCACCTCTTCGAGACGTCTCAAAGCGCTTTGTCTATATTTGCTGATGGTGCGAGAAAGCAAATACCAGCGTGATGTGTGGCTAGGATGAGGGAGCTCTGACACCCTCAGGTTGACCTGATTGACTGAATGAAGAGTGATGCAGAGTGAGGAGATTGGGGAAGGAGGAATATAAATCAAATGGTCCTTTAATACACAACACAGGAGGGGGATTTGAGGGATGAGTGGATAGTGAATCAGATAGTGAAGAACTCAATTAAGGCTCCTGAAAATAGCGGACTCCCCACACCAGCCCCAACCCTTAGGCCCAACTCCCAACCCCCACAGCCCCCAGGCCCAACCCCAGCCCCATCCCCAGGCCCAACCCCAGGTTCAAACCCCAATCCCAGGCCCAACTGCAACTCCAGGCCCAGGACCAAACCCCAAACTACAGCCCCAACCCCAGGCCCAAATCCAGCTCCAAACCCAGACCCAACCCCAGGCCCTCCCTAATCTGCAGCCCAGGCGCAACCCCAGAACAGCCTCAGGCCCAAGCCCAGGCCCAGCACAACTCCAGCACCAACCAAGCCCCCAGGCCCAACTCCAGCCACAACCACAAACCCAGTCCCAACACCAGGAACAGCCCCAACCACAGTAAAAACCCTGCCCCAAACCAGCTACAACCCCCAGCCCCCTATTGTATTGTAAGATACACTGCAAAGTGTAGTGACCAGTGTATTTTGTTGGCAAACGTGGCAGCCAATTTGCATCCAGCAACCTGTGAAGTGAATGATCAATTTCATCCAGGAGATCATTAGCCAGGACTCCTGCACTGGAGCGTCAGCCTCGCCTGTGATCTTACAAGCCCTGATGTGGGGCTTCAACCTACAGCCTTTTGACTCACTGGCCAGAGTGCGAGTTACTGAACCAGGCTGACACACAGTGACTGAGCCAGGCTGACACACACACACAGTGACTGAGCCAGGCTGACACACACACACGGTGACTGAGCCAGGCTGACACACAGTGACTGAGCCAGGCTGACACACACACACAGTGATTGAGCCAGGCTGACACACAGTGACTGAGCCAGGCTGACACACACACACAGTGACTGAGCCAGACTGACACACACAGTGACTGAGCCAGGCTGACACACTCACACAGTGACTGAGCCAGACTGACACACTCACACAATGACTGAGCCAGACTGACACACACACAGTGACTGAGCCAGGCTGACACACTCACACAGTGACTGAGCCAGGCTGACACACTCACACAGTGACTGAGCCAGACTGACACACACACAGTGACTGAGCCAGACTGACACACACACAGTGACTGAGCCAGGCTGACACACTCACACAGTGACTGAGCCAGGCTGACACACACAGTGACTGAGCCAGGCTGACACACTCACACAGTGACTGAGCCAGACTGACACACACACAGTGACTGAGCCAGACTGACACACACACACGGTGACTGAGCCAGACTGACACACACACAGTGACTGAGCCAGGCTGACAGAGAATGAAGTTACTTTTGCTGTCCTGACCGATAGTAAATTTGGCATTTGTGTCACAGTGTACAGGAGCCTGACATGCGCTTATCATATTTGCCTGTGAATCCCACAAAGATATTAAAATTCTATGTCATAAAATTAAATTTACAATGATAATAAAATTTACTCTTTGTCTTAATGTTGATTTCTTTGATATGTTTATGAGGGCCTAACCTGGATTACAAGATGTTGACGGTATATTTTATTACCAGCTATCTCCCTCAATCAAATCCATCTTCACTAAACTTAATTATAATAATAATAATCCTTGCATTTGGTATAACACCTTATTGCGTCATTGAGATACCTGAAAGCATTCCACAGAATATATTGCAAAGTGGATTGACCGTGTATTCATATGAATTATGCTATAATTATTTATGTAAATTGATATATAATGAATAATCATATGTATACTATTATATATAGCTTGCATGGGTATGCAGGTGACACTAAACTCTTTCTATTAATATTAATATATCAATGGTATATTAATTATATACTACTTGACAAGCTTAAATTTAAAATTTTAGGATCTGCCCGTCAGCCTTCACACCTAAAGTCTAAAGACACAATACAATTTACATTTATACTATTCCCTCCATTTGATATAGCTGCTTATCACTTTGTCAAAATGTCTCAAAGCACTTCACAGAATATTCTGTAAAGTGGAGTGACTGTGTATTTCGGGGGCGAAACATGGCAGCCACTTTGTACACAGAGATTAGCCATGGAGCCAAGCAAGAGGGCCTCTGTCTTGTCGACATTTAACTGGAGAAATGTTGAGCTTGTCCAGGACTATGTATTTGTAATAATAATAATGATTCATGCATTTCGTATAGCACCTTTTGCCTTGGGAGGACATCCTAAAGCACTTTGTAGGATATACTGTAAAATGAGTCCAGCCAATCTGTTAATAGTAGTGTACCACAAAAAGCCATGAAGTAAGTCTTGATGTCTACAGGCAATCAGTCAGGACAGCCGTGGTCGTGGAGTCGACGGTGGAGTCAGAGAGAAAGAGTTGGGTGTCATCCACGTACATGTGGAAGTTAGCCCCATGTTTGCACCACATCATTGAGCAGGAGCATGTAGATATTAAAAGAGAAAAGGACCAAGGAGAGAGCCCTGAGGAACGCCGCACCTAACTGTGCAGGGCATGGAGGAGAAGCCGTTTTAAGAGACAAAGTGGAGCAAAGATGAAAGAAATCTTGATTATCTGACGAATGGAGACATCTTTTAAAGATTTAAAAGGTTTCTGAGAGATTTCAAAGTAATGCCATCTAATAATCTTTCAACCAAGCAACTGAGAGCACCACGTGTGCACAGTTTACATGTGTCTGTTGTGGTTTGTGTACTCTCTCTCTCTCCCTGCAGGGACACACCCTGCTTACCCAATCCTGGTGAGTGCTGTCTGGTGAGCTTTCCACTGCTTGTCTGATTAGGACAGGGCTTTGGATCGTGGGGTTAACGAGATCTGAGTGGGAAGACTCTCTGTCCCAGTGAAGATCTGGCCCTCAATGTGAATGTCTATGATTGTAATAAAATATTCGCCCACAAAATATACAGTCAATTCACTTTTACAGTATATTCTGTGAAACGCTTTGAGACATCAAGAAGACTCGATAAGGCGCTATATCAAATGCAGGGATTATTAATTTTTATTTTAAACTATTACATTTTTATGGAAACTATTTTTATGAGTAATAAACAAAAGGCTGCAGATGCTGGAAATCTATCTTCTATACTAATAAGACAGCAATGTCTGTCTGCGCTTCAAGAAGGATCTCAATAACTGATTGATGTAGAGACATGATTTATACCTCATCGGAAAGGTCTTACAACTGGGAGTGACATGGGCATATTTGTTTTCGAGAATCTCCTATTGTTCATGAGTTATTTTCAGTTTTGCGTTTCCGCTGCAGTTACACCTGGTGGCCGCGAGTCAAAGTGGCGCTGTGTCATCATGCGTCACAGAGCACGTACGTATGTACGCACCCACTGCAGTTACATCTGGTGGCCGCGAGTCAAAGTGGCGCTGTGTCATCATGCGTCACAGAGCACGTACGTATGTACGCACCCACTGCAGTTACATCTGGTGGCCCCATCAGCTGACCGTGGCGCTGTGGCATCCTGCGTCACAGAGCACACACGTCGTCAAGCGGCGGGAACAAAATAAAGAACACAGACTAAGCTAAGCCGCGGCAACAACAACAAAATTACATTTTAAAGCACCGAGTGCTCCCACAGGAGTCCTCCCAGATGACTATAGATAAAGATTAAATATCTGTCTGTGTGTCAATCTGCATTCCAGATTGGATCCTTTGGTTGCAAGCGAAGCTGCAACAGGTACAGCGAGTCTGAAATAAAAACAGAAGTCGCTAGGAACATCCAGCAGGTCAGGCAGCATCTTTGGATAGAGAAAAGTAGGTTAATGTTTCAGGTCGATGACCTTCAGTCAGATGTTGGAAGGGAGCAGTTTATAAGGACAAACAGAGAAGGGTGCAGAGAAAGAAAGACCCAGAGCTTTTGGTCGATTGCCATCTAATTTTCCTTCCTCCTCCCACTCTGACCTCTCTGTCCATGGCCTCCTACGCTGTTCCAACAAAGCACAATGCAAGCTCTACCTCCGAGGCACCTTACAGCCCTCTGGCCTCAATATTGATTTTAACTAATTCAGACCTTAACCACAGGTCCCATCTTGTCTCAGCCTTGCCTCCCTCTCCCCTTCTTTTATAACCATTCACATACATCCTCTGGGTCTCAGACACATATTTTCTATCTATAATCTCCCATTATTGTCTCCTTTTGCTCTCCCCCATCAACACCTCTGGTCTCAACATTTTCTGTCCCCCACCTAATTTTTCCCTTTTTCTTTCTCTGCCCCCTTCTCTGTTTGCCCTTATAATCTGCTCCCTTCCAACATCCCCAAGTTCTGATAAAAGGTCATCAACCCGAAAGGTTAACCCACTCTCCTCTCTCCATAGATGCTGCCTGACCTGCTGAGTGTTCCCAGCAACTTCTGTTTTATATTATCTATGATTGTATATCTGCTCCTGTCTCCGACATTGAATGACGAGAAGACCTGCTGTTGACAGAATGTCCGTGCTGGGAAAGCAAAGAGGGGCGTTATTTCAGAATGAAGCAATAATTCATCAGGAAATTGAAAAGATCTTCCTGGAGACAGAAATGTTTTGAATTTAAATTGGATCCTGGCACTGAATGAGAGAGAAAAACTTGAATTAAAACTGGCTGCTGTTTGTCAGGAGTGTTCAGCAGTTCTCTGGGGATTGACAGACGGTGGTGGCTGGGGAGAGAGAAGGGGGAATGGCTTTGCATTGAGTGTCTCTCTTCTGCGCTTAACTTCTAAATTTAATCCAGTTTCTCAGGAATGCATAAGGCAATTTACAAGTGGAAAATTCCGTGGGTTCAAAATCCAGCCCCTGTATAGGGTATTAAGGGGCCGGTGACATGCAAGGCGCTGTGTAAATGTTGCGTGGTCTTGGTGCAAATTTCTGTTAAATGCGTGGTGTGAAATTGAGGTCTAAACAGAGCCAGTATTCTGACAGTGAACAAGGCTTTAGAATATAAATCACAAGATGGGTTGTGATTTATATATTATTTATTAATAGGTTGGATCAAGAAGACTGTTCGGCCCATCTGATCTCATCCCTCCAGAACATCCACCCTACTATGCCCCATCAAGGCATCCAGCTGTTTTTTAAATGAGTCCCAGTGTCCTGGTCTCAAAGCTGCTTCCTGGTGACCGGTTCCAATCGTTAATTACCCTCTGGGTAAAGAAACACTTCCTGGTTTCTGTCCTGAAATTGCTCCTTTACAGCTCTAACCCTGTGTCCTCTTGTTCTTCTGTCTCGGTGCATCCGAAAGTGCTGTTTTGGTACTACTGTTTACTTTTTCAATCCCATTGTTTTACTCTTCAATGAGATCCCCTGTGAGTTGTCGTCTCTCAGACTGGGGATACTACAGCTCTTCATTGAGAACCTCAGTAGGACAGCATCGCAGCATTCGCTGGAGCCTCCTACAATGAGTAAAGCCTAGCCAAATATACTATATATCATTGTCAAAGCGGCAGCCAATTTGCATTCAGTGATGACCCACAAACAGCCGTGGAGTGAGTGACCAATATTATCTGAGGGATTGACGGCCAGGACACTGGGAGAGGGAAACTCCCTTCTCTTTTCCGATCTTTAACCTCCACCTGAACAGGACGGCGCGACTGACAATGCTACACTCCCCCCAGCACTGTGCTGCAGCGTCAGCCTTGTCTGAGCTCAGAGTCTCCAATGTGGGACTTCGGCCTAAAACCCTCTAGAGTGCTAGAGGCCACTTAGCCAGGCTGACCCCACAGCACACACTCATCTTTCAAGTGTCCGTGCTAGAAATCACTGCTGTGATTCAACACATTCATTTCTAAGTAATGTTTATTGACTTTTTTGTTAAGATTTTCCTGAAGTAAGCCTCCATGTGCCGTTATTAAAGCCTTGATTTTCCACTCTCTATTTTCTTGCTGAATGTGTTGTACTCATTCTCAGCGGAGCGAGCGGTGACCTGTTCCCATGGCTCTGCCACTGCCTCTTTGAACCAGTCTGTCTCTGTAATTCTCTTCAGTTCCCCATCTGCCCCTCTGGGGAGGTGCTTCTCTCCACAAACACACGCAGATATAGCCCACACCCACCCACACACAGATGGAACAAGTGCAAGCGGTGATTTGCCATTTATAGAACGGGCAGTGACCTTGCGAGGTTGTCACATTCTCCACTGACTGCTCTGATCTCAGTGCAATCGCTTGAAAAATCCTCTCTGCCCTACGCAGAGCCAGAGATTCCATGTTGGATTATCCAGGGAAAATTAGCCTGCAACATGTTCAAACTTTGGTTCAGGCGTGGAGTCCTGTAGCTCAGCGGTTAGAGCACTCGCCTCACCAGCGGGAGACCTGGGTTTGATTCCCAGGCAGGGCAAACATTGGGCAAGTTACCTTACCTCACCCACCTCTGTTTACCTAGCGGTAAGTAGGAACATGGTTGTTAGTCAGTTAGCGGATCTCTTTTCTGGGCATAATAATTTGTTCAAAGAAATAAAAATAAATTGGTCACTCAATCCACGATTATTTGGGAAGCTGCTCTACGCAATTTGTGCCGCGTTTCGCCCACAAAATATACAGTCCATTCACTTTACGGTATATTCTGTGAAGCTCTTTGAGACGTCTCGAAGATGTGATAAGGCGCTAAATGAAATGCAAGGATTATTATGATTTGATACCACTCTGGCCTCTGGGTCACCTAGGCGTGGGTTCAAGCCCCACAGTTGGAAACGCTGAGTTCAGTCTAGGCTGATGCTCCACGGCACTTCACTTCAGGAGAGATGGCGGGGCCTTGTGGAAGTGGTTTAGGAAAATGGTTGCAGAGATGAAGGGTTACAGTAATGAAGAACAATTGGAGAGGCTGGGTGTGTTTTCACTGGAATAGAGAAGGCTGAGGGGCGGCTCTGACAATGCAGTGCTCCCCCCCCCCCCCAGCACTACAATTTGACCGTGCCTTTCGTCACCCTACTGCCCCTCCCCACCAACCCTCCTGATCCCTGCCATCTGGGTGCGGATCCCTGACTGTACAGTGCCTTGGGACGTCGTCCTCATGTGAAAGGCGCTATACAAATGTAATTTGTTGTTGTTGCATTCCCGGTCCCGGGATCCGTTACTGTAAAGCGCTCTGAGACGCCGTTCGGAGTGGAGGGCGCTATATAAATCCAAGTTGTTGTTGCTGTCAGCCTAGACTGTCAGCTCAAAGAACCTTCTGACTCAAGAGATGAGAGTGCGACCAATTGAGCCAGGCTGCTGCTAGCTTATATCAGGTATTGGTATATATATATAGAAAGAGAGAGAGAGAGAGAAAGAGAGAGGGCTTTATGCCATTAGTTATGTTCTCTGTGATCTGCTGGAGGATGTGTGATTCGGTTCCATTCAACCTGGCTGGAATCAAACTCATCCATCGCACCAATTAAAGGTGAGAAAAGCCTGAGGCTGGAAGTGTGTGTCACACTGAACATCATTGCTCAAAGCACTACCCTGAGTGCAGAGCTCCACACACACACACTCCAGCTTGCTTGGATGGTTCAGAAGATTTGGGGGACCTTGAGCTCACAGTCCAGGCTGACACTCAAGCGCAGTGCTGGGGGGAGCACTACACTGTTAGAGACCCCGTCCTTCTGATGACACATTAAACCAAGGTCCCATGTGCGCCTGTTCAGGTGGACATTAAAGATCCCGCGGGGCTATTGGAAAAGAGAAGGGAGTTTCTCTCTCTCTCTCAGTATCCTGGCTGACAATCACCCAGTTAACATTTGTCACTCACTTCATAGCTGTTTACAGGACATTGCTGTGTGCACAATTAGTTACCCCATTCACCTATAAAACACCAAGTTACCACACCAGCAGTGAATGTGAAGCGCTTTGAGATGTCCTCCTGATGTGAAAGGCACTGTTATCAATTGTAAGGATTATTGTGATATGATGCTGTTATCAATGATACTGTGTATGATTTTATTCATAAAAACATGCACAAAAATATCTGCTTATCAGTGGCAATTATATTTGTTTCTTTTGAAGCGAGCGCTCAGGGTAAACACCCTTTACCCATACACAACAAACATCTAATTAGTACATTCCTCCAACTTTGTTGGAACCAAACCACACAGGAATATGGGTTGACATTAAATTCATCTTTTCAACTTATTTGCCTAAATCTCAGCTGATTCATGTTTGCTGTACTATGAACAGTTTGCTGAACAGAATACATGATGACAGTTTGATTTCTGTTCCACCTCATTGACGGGGGTAATAATCCCTAAAAATAAATTATAATAATAAAATTTGGTCATTCAATCCACGATTGTTTGTGGGACACTGCTGTGTGCAATTGGCTGCCGCGTTTCGCCCACAAAATATACAGTCAATGTACTTTACAGTCTACTCTGTGAAGAACTTTATGACGTCTCGCAGATGTGATAAGGCGTTATAACAAATGCAAGGATTGTTATTATTAGTATCTAGTCTCACCTCTGAGTCAGGAGGTTGTGGGTTTAAGCCCCATGTCAGGGACTTTGAGCTCACAGTCCAGGCTGATGCTCCAGTGCAGAGGTCCCATCTGTTCAGCTGGACGTTAAAGATCCAGCGGCATTATTGGAAAAGACAAGGGAGTTTATTTCTCCCAGTATCCTGGCCAACAATCCCCCCCAGACCCAATGGTCACCCCACACCCACACAACAACCGCCACACCCCCCCACACACACACATACTCACACACCACCCTCATACAACCCCACACCCCACATAGCTGTTTGTGGGACATTGCTGTGTGCAAATTGCTTGCCATGATCATCCACAAAACACAAATTGTGTGTGAGTGAGTATGTGTGTGGAGTGTATGTGGTGAGGGTGTAGGGGAGGCTGTGTGTGGGGGGCGGGGGTGCTGTGTAGGTGTGTGTGGGGGGGGTGGGGAGATGGTGTGTGTGTGGGCAGATATGTGTTTGATGGGTTGTGGAGGTGTATGTGGTGGGGGGGTGCAGTGTATGTGTGTATGCATGTGGGGGATATGTATGTGTGTGTGGGGTTGTGTGAGGGTGGTGTGTGAGTGTGTGTTTGTGGGGGGGGGGGTGCATGTGTGGGCGTGGGTAGGGCAGGGGATGTGGACCAAGAGGGAGTTAGCTGAGCGGAGGGAGTGGGCAGGCTGGTAGGTAGGGTTTGAGGAGGTCACGGAGGTAGGTGGAGCAAGGCAGTGGAGGGTTTTAAAATTGAGGATGAGGAGTTTAAAGTATTTAAGCCTTTTTATAAATGTTTAATGCTACAAAGTGGTCTACATGTAAACAAGATGTCTCACTGAGATGATTAATCATCCAGGAGTTTGCTTTCTGAAATCCAGGCATAGCCTGACATAGTTTGTGTCACAGCCCAAACATGTGTAACTCAATAGCTGGTCACTACAGCAGCCCTTGGCGTGAATGAGTGATAAACATCAGTATAAACACAGCAAACACACACCACAGCAGACAACACACTCACTTAATGGAGGAGTTGGAGAGAAACTGGTGAGTTTTCGCTCCTGCCGGCACCACAGTGTGTTTGTCACTAAACCAGGGTTTGTTATACAATCCAGGGCCACGCACACAACAAGCCCCAAAGCCACATCCCCGGCCCTCAGCCCACCACC